CTAGGATGTGACAGAACAGGATAGGACATAGAGGCATGGGAGGGGATAAGCAGACTAGGACTCTATAAGTTGCACACCCCATTTTTTCCTTCATTCTCACCGCAATCATCATCACACCCGTCGTCTTCGTCGTCAAACATGTCATCGAGATCACAGTTCATACAATCCTCAGCGGCGCATTCTTCTTCTTCTTCTTCTTCCTCCTCTTCTCCACGACAGGGGTTATTGAATCGCCTGTCAACTGTTGGCGGCTCCGCACATTCTGCCCCGGTGTTGAAACAGTCTATGTAGAGAAAATAGAAAGTGAGAGAAACTGGTTTATGTCGGCATGCCTACTGCTTGGTAGAGTCAATCTTCATGCTCTACCATGTTGTCAAAATGTCTACACTCATCTGTAAGTGTAGATGTGGGTGAGAGGAGTTGCTAACAGTACCCAGCTGTGGTTTTAGACCATAGTGGTCTCAAATAACATTTGTTTAGTCCTGCTTAGTCTCCTGCGTATTGAGGCTACTTAATGAGAAAGAAGAGGCTTCTTAAAACCTACTCTCAATGAAGATATAGTCGTTCATTATGGCCTGTACGTCGTCAGCACACTCGCAGAACTCGGCCTCCTCCATGCCTTCCTGGAGGAACCAGTGAACAAAGGCCTTCTTGGCGAGGAGAGTGCTGAATCGGTGGAGGATACATTTGAACGGTTCAATAACAAGTGTAGAGTTGTAGACGGCTGTCAGCTGTCGACATGTCTTGCCCAAGCCACTCTGTTTTACCACCGCAGGAGGTCGCTCTACCACGCCTACCTTGAAGCCTGTGGGGCACCAATCGACTAGGCCTACAATCGAGCGCTTCTTGAAGATCTCAATGCTGTCTGTTATCTCCTTAATTGGTACATCACCGCGATACAGCAGAGCGCACGCCATCATCACAGAATTCTTAGGGTCGCAAGTATTCATCTGGTTCTCCTTCTCGAAGCACTTTAACGTCAGCTCAGGCACTGTAAAAGCTGCAATGTAGGTAAAGGGGCAAATTAATTCGGTGCGGAGATCTCGTACATTGTACTTAGGGAGTCTGTTTAACTATCACTCCATACCCTCATGCGACATTACATCGGCGGTGCAGAGCGGTGCAATTCCAAGTTGTAGGTAACGTAGACGAGGAAAGGGAACAAGATTGGTTTGTAATTGTAGCAATGAAGCTGTCACTGGTCCCTCATGTCTTAGGGTCGCGGTGAAGCCACTAGTTGCCTGAGCGATAACACGGTTGAGATGAGAGAAGGCCGGTCTTTCGATACCCAATTTCTTTGTGCAGATATCCGTTAGGGCTTCATTTTCACACAACACGGAGAAAGTGCTGATATCGTCGAGGGTGCTGCAACAGAGGATTGCATTGTAGGGCTCCACGACACAACAGGACTTCTGGTGGTCTGGGAACACGGCGATTTCGATTTTGGGTATCTTCATAAACTCCGTGTCCATTAATTCGGCGATGCCTACCTCAAAGCAGGGGCATTCAAGTTACTGGACAAATAAACCGGTAGTAGAAAAAGTCATTTTTACGCACGACAGGCTGTTCCACCACCCGTACCGCCGCCATAAGCATGGCAGAAGAGAATGGCTTGCAAAAGATCAGTGTGTTCAACCTCTTTTCTAATAGAATTGATGGTTGCATCGATCAACGTTTGTGGAACACCATAGTAGCCACGGCCAAAGTTGTTTGCCATATCCTCCAATCCACTGATCAGACCACGTGGATTAAACATTGTTCGGTACAGTCCACAACGAACTTCATCTACGCAATCAAAAGTATTTTTTATTGCAACTTTTAAGATGAGAGAGAGTGGATACTAAAATAATGACGCACCAATAACGGTGGGTTCAGTGTCAACGATAGTGGTGCGTGGAACGTAGCGATCCTTATTGTCGACCATGAAGAAGACGTTGCCCGACTGTTTGTCGTAGTCGGTCTCGGCCGAGGGATCGATCAGCATGCCATCGGGACCGACACCGTGCTCCACGGCCATTAATTCCCACACGGCCTGGGAGACCTGCGTTCCGCACTGGCCTGCGAATACGCTGATTACTTCGCCGAGCTATGGAACAGCATGCAGCAGCGGCATCACCACAATACCACATCCACTTTTTCATATCCACAACATCCAAAATGCCTACACTATGTGCTCATTCTAAACTGTTTGACTAGATTTTTTAAAAGTTATTTGCTATCTAAAGGCAAATGACATAAAAGGGACAAAAGTAAGAAAATGTACGAACCGGCATTCTCGGGGTCCAACCAATGTGCGCACGCCGTAGGAGAAAGTAGTCTGGGATTGATTTTCCGGGTTTGAACTTTGCCCTGTCACATGGACTGCCGACAAGGCTGCGGAACGGCCGTGCGCGACACGTGGTGAATCTTGGGTCTGCAGGGACGGACCAAATCATCCTTATTTTCCCTCCGATAACCTTCTCTTTTGGGTGGTAAAAAAGGGTACCTAAAAGTAGATTTTCCGTCTCCATCCTACTGAGGCTGCTAATAGTGGGCATGAAAGTTTAGGCTTTGATAAACTAATATAGCCATGCGTTTTTGTGAAATTCCCCAGATTTTTTAAAGAATTATCCGTATATAAGCCTTTGCATATAAATTTATCTCGCCATACTTTTACATGCAATCGAATGAGGCAGTTCGGAATGACTGGGGAAATTTTATTTCTTTTACGCCTAACAAAATCAAAAGATCATCTTAAGAGTGTATGCGAACTTTCGATTCTGTATTGTCGACCCACTCCAAAGGAGAAATTTGTTGACAAAAACGCTTAGCCTTTTAAGTGAAATACGTTAACCATTTGATTAACTTTCCGTTTTGGTGACGGGCCACTTAGGGGCTCCGTCATTTTGCCTATTCCAGGCGGTCTGGCCTCTGGGCCATGCCATTGGCTCCAAGCCTTTCTGTTCGTAATAAATCATGCTCTACTGGCGTATTTTGTCTTACTTTGTCTTCAAGGAAACCTCGGGACGCTATATTGGTGACGACTAAAAGCGTACTCGATCTTAGGGGCCGAATAGCATGATTTCTGCTGCTGCCTAATGGGAGAAGGGCAAATTGAGCGACAATAGCCATGAAGCCTCTAGAAAGGTTCGCTACGTAAGTGTACACGCTTCCTCTGTGAAGGTGTCAATGGGATGATCACACGACACCCCCTGGAGAGAAACCTGATTGCTATGGCTGAGCAGCACTGTAGTGTGAAAAAGTGGAAGAGAGGTAGAGACAAGAACCCAATTCCCACAGAACTATGTCAAAATCCGTTCCATTACACGACTCTGCATTTAGGTCAGAATTGCAACCACTAGCGATGGACATGTGCGATGGCCAGCTCATCTGCCCCTCCGGCCAACGCATTTCCCAGACAGGACAAAACCTTAGCTCCGGTAGAATTGCCAAGGGGGCTTAATGCTATTGTGATTAAGCATCTTCTCAGTTGCACGCTAATGTAATGGATGGAGTGGCTGGCTCACGGGTGCTTCTTTTTACAGCACTGGTTGCGTTGGGAGGGAAGCGTTGGGGCCGTCGCTAGAAAGACAAGAGAAGGTCTATATAAAATAATTGCTTATTTAACTCTCGGGTTTGGTAATGCGTCACTTAGGTGCTTTGTCATTATACCTCCACCAGACGGACTGGCCTTCGGGCCTGCTAGTGGCCCCCAAGACCTTCTGCAGGCCGACAATACACATTCTGCCTGAGTGTTATGCCTTCTTTCGCCTTCGGGACAGTCTCGGGACGCTGCGCAAATGATCGCATGTTTATCCAAATTTTTCATTTAAGTTGTTAAAGCTACATTCATAAAGTATCACATGGAAAAATAAATGTGCCCAACACAAATTGAGCCATGAGACTGTATTGATTTTTTGTCTTCAGCCAATGGGAATACGGGGAAGAAACATGTCAAGGTGAAATTTTCCAACCCTCCACTGGCATGCATGTAAGCTGTGCAATTGACCATATTTTTACTTTTTATAAATGCATCGATGGCAAAATATTTTGAAGTGAAACTAATGAGCCAAAGAGCGGAACCTTTTTTTTTGCGGTTCTAATGTAAAATATTCGAATAATGAACAAGCTTTTTGTTTTGTTGTCAGTACTTTTTTAAAAAAGAATATTTCACTGCAGCAGGCCGGAAAAGTCATTTGAATCAAATTAAAAGAGACAAGTCCATTGCTTTTTATCGTTACGATTACACAAAGTCCAAATCATTATTTTTGCTATTGCTGAAGGACCCTTTTGGTAATAAGATCTCACAATTCCTCCATTACTTAAAGCGATTACAGTTTTGAGATCCGTTTGAGGCTTTTGAATGAAACAATGGGGATAATTTATCGTAAAAAATCAGAATTTTTTGGGTTTTACAATATGGACATGCTAGATCATTTGGTTTCCTAGGGATTAACTGCAACGTTGCTCACCTATTCCATACTATTAGTTGCGAATCACTGAACAAGGCATGCAAAGATCAGTTCGACTGAATGAAGAATTTGAAACTAGTTATTTTCCCGTGATTTGCCTTATTCGCTACCCATTTTTAGCGATAGTACATAATCTGGCCTCTACCGACATAAAGGGGACGGATAGATTAATGAATTACTGAATATGCGGGTAAGCAAATGGAAAGCCAAAGGGCGTTCGAGCAGATTTAGACTAATCATTGCCCTATTGCAGGGTGAATTGGTGCAGATTTTCGTGGGTCAAGGGGGTGCGCAGATAGCGGATGCGTGTTGGGAGCTCTTTACACAGGAGCACTTCATAACACCAAGCGGTGAGCCTAGCGCATGCCTCTGCGGTCAGGAGCAGGGCGATTGCGATGGCTCTGCCTTCTTCAGCCTCACCCAGCGCGGTTTCTTCGTCCCCCGCACCCTCATCGTCGACACCGAGCCATCTGTCCTTGGTATGCGCTCCTTTCTCACGTATTTTACTTAATTCATTTCAGTAAACATAGCATCTCTAGTGATAATGGATAGTGCAATTTTAAGTTGCAGCAGATCATTTAACCCATATTTAAGTGCACGTAAGGAAATGATACAGCTAGGTTAGTTGAATAAAACCCGACCTTCACGGAATACTGCTTTTGATTCGTTACCTTGGTAGCCTTCATTTTTATGCTATACCGAGGTGCCAAAATCGGTCCACCATGGTTAGTGAAGCAACAAATTTTTTAGACGAAATTCGTATGGGCGTCTATCGAAACCTATTTCAACCCAGCAGTCTTATAAGCGGCTGCGAGGATTCCGCTTCAAATTTTGCCCGAGGATACTATGGTGCTCCATGTTCACTTATTGATGCCTCTTACAATTCAATCCGTCGTCTAGCGGAGGCCTGCGATCTCCTCCACGGCATTATCTTCTATCGTACTTACGGAGGTGGCACTGGCAGCGGTTTGGGATGCAGTGAGTTCAATTCTAAAATTATTCTACTTACAAACGTTCAGTAGCAAGTTTATATGCTCAGCCCTTCCCACTAGTGAATAGCCATTCAAGATGATAAATCTGCCTTTGTGATGTACAAACCATTGCCAGGGCTACTGCAATACGCGGCGGATGAGTTTTGCAAGATTTCGCGCATGGATTTTGGGGTGATTCCGGGCGTTACGCTGTCCTCAGGCCCCGTGGAGCCATATAATGCAGTGCTGGCTACTCAAGTGCCAGTGGAACACGTTAATCTTGTCAGCCTTGTAGATAACATGGCACTGCAACGCATCTGCTCCTGTCTCCTCAAAATCTACAAGCCGAGCTTTACCTCTCTCAACCGCATCCTTGCTCAGGTGCACAATTTTCGATGTACCGTGATAATACATCTAGGTGTAACACACCTATGCTACATAGCCTTTAAAGATGAGCAAATTATGCTTACCTGATTTTAGCAGCCTGACCTTTGATTGTAATTGCTGATGCTGCGGCGTCCGAACCACTTTATTGGTAAACGAATTACAACGTATTAGAGAAGAACACCAATACCCTTTAATAGAGTAGCTTTATTTGCCTCTACTTCCGCTTTTCAATGGCAACGTTAAATTTTTTTTGCTTTTTGCTTCCTTTGCCTCCCCGCGACAGTGCATGAGCGGATTGACCTCGACGTTCCGATTTCCGGGCCCGACGACGATCACCATGATGGACCTCTATACCAATCTCGTGCCCTACCCCGATGCCCACTTTGCCATGATCGGGTTCGCGCCGTTGTTTGACCTAGAGACAGCCTGCAAGGGTCGTAAGTGCAACTTTCTTATGCTCAAACTAATTTTTTGTTAAGTGCATTTTATCGTTCATCTCCCCATCCAATCATCTACCGATCAGTTCATCCATTAACCAGTTATCTCCTCAGTGATTTTTCCATGCACCCGCTTATCACTCCATCTCCCCACAGTTTTACCCCTCCACTTATCTGTTCATGTATGCATGCAAAGCCGTGTTACTGGAGGGCCTAGTGACGTAGTATTTGGATTTTTGTCGCAGAGGTGGATACGACACAGCTTACGGAGTCGGTGTTTGCCCCAGAAAACCAGTTGGTGCATCAGCATGAGGAGGAGGTGAACATGTACCTCACTTGCTGCCTCTTCTATCGCGGCAACGCGAGTGTCCGTGATGTCAACACCTGTATCGACGAGATGCGCTCTTCCAACCGCCTCCCCTTCGTTGATTGGTGCCCCACAGGATTCAAGGTTATTCCTCTTCCTCCCCATTCTTAGTTTGCGTGTACATTTGCATGGGTATTTAGACTAATCTTCACGGTTCTTAAAAGACCAAGGGATGCGTCTAGTTTAATAACCTAGCAAAATTCAACAAATTGTAATTCTATCCGAAGGTGGGTATTTCGTATCAGCCAATGACAACCATAGAGGCGAGTCGAATTGGACCCTCGGACACCTCAGTGATGGCGTTGCATAACTCCACCCTCTTCAGAACACCCCTCCACGAGCTCACACAGGCGGTGGAGACACTTCTGAAACGTAACGCCTTTCTCCACTGGTACAAAGCGGAGGGCCTCGAAAGCGATGAGATCGAAAACGCTCTGGGAGGCCTCAAAAAACTAGAGGCCGACTACAACTCGGTAAGTGTATTAGGCTATGGTAAATGGTTTCTACAGATGGGTTACTGGAAGACAGCTTTTCGAACCACTCAATCATGCTGGCGTGCTGGAGGTAAGGAACCAGCATTACATAGGGATTATTTACTTGTAGTATGGTGGCAAATTCCATTCTTTGCTTGCAAAATGACGAAGTCAGCCAAATGTTTTTTGATATTATTTTTACTTCTTTATGTTGAGATGGATTTTCCAAATCTTCAGGAATAAAAAAGAACGGCTTAAAAAGCAGCATGTTATAACACCTAAGTTTATCCGGCAAGTAAATTAGTTTTAATGAATCAAACTCATAAGTATAAACTAATTTGAAATGAGGCATTGAATAGGTCAATCAATTTTTGATTATTTTCGATAAGTGCAGAATAAGATCATAGCATCAAGGGGCTTTAACCCTATATTTTTGCAGCATAAATTATGCTGTGCGCTAGATTGGCATCTGTTAAAACTTGTTTGGCCCAATGTCAGTTTTTTGACAGTATTTGAAGAATAAACCTTTGTATTTTATTTAAAGCCAATGTAAACTGTTGTCAGCATTGAAACCTAGCAAGGGCTTATTAAAGTTGTATGAGATTTGTTTCATGCAGTTCATTAATACTTCACTGGAACGGAAATTTTCGAATGAGCGTATGGGGAAGAGCTGTCCATTGGTTCAAAGCAAAGTAAATGGGGAGGAAGGAATGAACTGCGAACAAGAAACAAAGGTAATAACTTCGTGGTGCTAATCGTCCGCTTAGAATAATCGTTATGTGCAACTAAGCCAACTCTGGTCCTTTGCAAAAGAGTGCGGATCTCATGATTCACTGATTTAGCACTTTTGTTATAATAGATGCAGTTTATAGGCCAAAGTGGTAAATAGTTTCAGCAATTATTTGAACTCATGAAGAGCAAATTTGCTTAAAAGTGGTTCCGTTATTCATGTTCCATCACCTGACATAAGTAGACCAGCCATTTTTTGGCGAGCAACATAAATCAGCACATTTTGCCAGATTAAGCCTGCTTTTTGTTCCCATAGTCACCATGTTGTGAAAAAAGTGATTCTCCTTCTTCAATGAAACGCCAAAGAATAAACGTAGGTTCCAGAACGATTTCAAAGTCTTGATAAATATGAGCCAAAAGGATTGTTTTGTTTTTGTTACTGTCCTACTATCATACAACCGCTTAGCAAACTTTATCTCCATTTTTTGTTCTTCCAGCCATTTTGTAGAAAAGAGTTTGACAAAAACTACCAACCACCACAAGAATCATCAAGAAGATCACCAGTGAGTTCTTATATGTACATTTAAAAATGCTTAGTGCTTAATGGGCCATTTGCTAAAGATTTACAAGAAGCACGATTTGATTTAGATGTCTATAAGGATCAAAGAACTGAGGGCAAAACGCAAGATAAGGGGCAGATTGGAGGCGTCTGAAAACACAAATTAAAACAATTGCTGTTCATGTGAAACTCATCAGAGAGTTGGGTTTTTCGCATAAAAGCAACTCGATTTATATATTGAATGGATCATTTTCTCCTTCGGATTAGCTGCTAATCTTTTGCCACACATAACATGTAGCAGGATTGCAGAAATTGGTTTAGTGAAAGTACAGCTAAGAATCTGCTGCTCTTTGAGGGGAAAAATTCAGCGTTTAGTAGCGTTGCCGTCTTTGTTCTTAGCCAGAAGTTCCCCGAGCTTTTCCATCTGATACACACGTCTTGTTTAATGTCAAAAATAAGCATACTCAAAGGAGATTACTAGTATGCTTGCGCTCCTGATTAAATTAAGTTAAAACTTGCTTTTAATTTACACAATTCTTTTGTTCGTAGTCATATTCTGAAAAGGGTCAAAGGCCAGTCTCACGATGCCGCACCGATTGCAAAGATCGCGGTAGTTCGAGGAAATCTCCCGTAAGAGTTTGTCTTTCCTCTTAACTTTTGATTGTGAATACCTGAAGCCCAACATTTTACGTGCACCGACCTTCCATGAGAGGTGATTGGTTTGGACGCATTCAAGTGCTGATTAGTTATTAGTAGCGCCGTGTAGGGCCGTTTTTCCAATTCTACAATCATAAGCGACTAGTTTTTTAAACACAAACTGGTACCAATGGAATTAGTGAGCCGAGGTTAGGATTTTGTCGCTTGGCAGCAAAACTTTTCTATTTACTTTTAAAATGCTGCTATTTGATAGTTAATAACGAACATTACTCCTCGAAGTGGAACACCTAAAAGTAGAAACAGTGGATGTCCAGCCAAGGACTACACAAAAGTGATGGACCGAGAAGCATCTCCGGAGGTAATGCTCCGCCAGTAATATATATCAAATTCGTCCACCGAATTCAGTACTAGTAGAACCAACTTCATCGCCAACGCGTTCTAAATGCTAGTACAGGTTTACCGAAGAGATTTACACCTTATCTTAAGGGACGATAGCCCTTCATTTTGCATATTTTATAGCATGCACAGACTTCATACTGTGTCTGTTTCATTGGCTATTAATAGGCCTTCGAACCGACAACCTGTAGTCAGAAGACCTGCACTAGAAGCTCTCAAACGGTAGGTGTCCTTTAATTTTACTTATTCATCGTGTCAAGCAAATGAAGTGAATAAGTAAAAAAATAAATTTGTGGCAGATGCGCTGTCCAAAAGAGTGTGATGGAAGGTGTAAAACTGAACGTGAAACTCCTTCACAAGAAAATTCCGTGAGTTGTTCCAATTTTAGGACTAATGTCCTTATTGTAAACATCCTTGGTTTTTTTATTTTTTTTCCTAGTTTACAGAATAATTTTCAAATTTGTTATTTGCTTTGCTTTGAAAAGGTGTCATATTTGGAGGTTATCATCGAATTTAATGCTTTGCCGTACTGAATGACACTTCACTTATGAAATGCGATTTGGCCTAAGGTAGCGATCCGAGACTTGCTGGGATACAAAGGAAGGCATAATACCACAGTAGAATATATATTTTTGACGTAGAGAGGGACCGAAAGGCTACCAACACGGCCAAGAGGCCAGGCCGCCCGGCGGGTTAACATAACCGATAGTTAAATAATCAACAAAAGTATTACATAGTCACCTTCCTCTTTCAAGCGTCATCCCTAGCGCTCTCCTTGGTCGGCCTTCCGCGTCAGCCATTAAAAAGTAATCAGTGCTGTAAGAAAAACTTCTTCAAGCCAACCAACCATCCCAGTCATCACACTTACGTACAAATGAGGAGATATTTGATCACAGCATCACTGATTTGTCTTAGTAACCCTACTGGATCTGGAGTCTCATCCTCTGTGGAAATGGTATTGGGGGACGAGAGAATTTGCTAATCATTATGAGTGTCAATCGTTTGTCGTCGAAACACTGACCTAAAAGTAGAGTCATGTGACAAAGGATGGGGTTTAACAGGGTTTCAATGCAGTGCTGCCAAGCTATACCTATCCAGGTCCTATCTAGCTAGTAGAGAGGTGGAGGAAGTATTCCGTGTTCACTCAACTGACATCTTCATACAAATACGGTAGACAGCTCCATAGCGATCTTTTGCAGATGGTCTGCGACCATGGTTGGTGCCACTTCCTTTGTTAATGGCTTTCCTGCAGACTACAAAGCTAAGGCGGTTGCCGAAGGTAAACGTCATAATCAGCCCTTCCATTACAGGTCGTCACAGATTTCCCCATCCTCAGCATACACACTTCTTTCGCCCCGCTAAGTTTTATAACCGTGCAACAGAAATCAGAGCTGTAGTCCCTTAAGATGGGGTTTGCTTTACGCTACCACCGATGTAGCGTCTTAAGACTTTCAGTAAGATGAAAGGAGACGCTACTTGAGCAGAACATGCATTGTCGACGTAGAGTAGAGCTTGATGCCAGGCCGCCTGGAGGAGGTACAATGGCGGAGCCCCTAAGTTACCTGTTACCGAAACCGAGAGTTAACCAAAAAAATTAGTGCATTGCATTTGCAGTTTTTAGCATTAAATTTACCTACACCAAATTTAGGTATACAATCTTATACATTACAAAATTTAAGGTAAACGCGTCGCTTTCCTGGCTTAAACTGGACTTTGATTTGACCCTTAGACCGATTATGAAAGTGAGCAAGAAAGGAGTTCACGTTGCAGGCGAAGGCGCAGGGAATGGGAGTACAATTTTCGCAAATACCTTGTAACTCAAAAGAAATATATGTTTTTTACCCTTGATCAGCCTTACCTCGGCCTCAAATAAATCTTTTTTTAATCTACTAACTGAAGTAATGACTATCTTACTAGTGCTCTTATGTACTTCATCAGTCGGATGCTATAGTTCATGATGTTCATTTTTTTCCTACTTTTAGAGAGATGAGCCAAGCTATGATGAAGATGCTAACAGTGGTCCATTTGACACTGATTTGCATTGTCAGAGGGTAAGAGATTGTTCACAACCTATTTCACCATGCATAAATGCATACTTCGACCCCATCATCAGTTACCTTGATCTTACGTTTTGTATAGTAATTTACCATAAGACCAGCTAAGAACAAATGAAAGAGGGAACAAAAGTTAGGTCTGGTAAAATGCACTTCCCAGAAGGTGTTCGCACAACTGTCCCGTTTCAATGCATAATATGACAAACAACTTCGGGAGCTAGTGAATTTGGAAATTTTGATTTTTACGTTAAATGCCGTCATAATTTACAAACTCTGCAGAAGAAGTAAAGTTGATTCGTCCGCATTTTTAATCTCTCCCAACAGAGAATGGCGCCAGGCTGCTGGGCTACGAAACAAAGAGAGGAGATAGAGGAGGACAGAACTCGCAATCCATCAGCAAAGGTAACACCTCTCTACCGTTACATACACCGACTCCCTAAGCAGACCATTTGGCTGCGTTTTGTAGCGCCAGACTAACTGCATTGAGCAAAACATGTTCTTATTACAGAAACGGAAGTTAGTGCTTAGAAGTTTTAAAGAATTCTTAATCAATGGGTTCCAATGAGGCTACGCTCTCACCTTCATGAGTAGTGTTGATCCGATCAAAATTGTTTTATCAGCAACTTCACAATCTTGTTGCATTCAGGAAAGCATACTTTGTCCTGCAAAATCAGGGTCATTTTATAAGTCGCAAAGATTTGTGAAATTCTTTCGTCCATTACTGCAGTATTTGAGCATTTGTGGCATGAACCACTTCACGGAGTATTTTTGTAGGAATGTCCCACTAATAAATAGGATGCATTCAGTTTAAAACACCCTTATGGAGCAATTAACTTAAAGTCATTCAACAAGCAATTAAGCAAGTATTTAGCTTGAAGGTCATTTATTTCAGAGGCCTGCCTGCGGAAGCTTTACTCCTTCGCCCCCACAATATCTACAGAAGTGTAGTGTAAGTCTCGAAGGCAGCACTCGTTTCATCACTTGTAATGCCAATAAAACCGAGAATTGGTTTTCAACGCCAAACATTCATTTATGTTTCATACCCACTCGTTAATGCCCGAGTATTGTTTTTCCATACGGGGAATGTTGTTCTCTGTCCTCCTAGATCTCCTATCAAAATGGGCGTGAGTGTTACGAATCTTCATTGCGGGAAGCACTTGTAAGTTATAAAACCGTCATTTCAAGGCTCGATCTGAACAAATATACCTTTGTTTTGCAGTTTTTATGGCATTGATACGTTAGTCTCCCCCTTACATGAAATCATGCTCAAGTGAGAAATTGTTTGGCAGTTAGAATCTCTGACTTAGCTCAGCAGAAAACCAAAAACCGAACAAAGTTACTGCTTTGTAAATACCTACAGGCAGAGTATTTCTCATTTTCGACACATTGGCAGATACACTGAAAATAAGATGGCATTTACTCTTTAAGATTAGAGCCCGTTTTCTCTATTTCCTGTTGTTCAATCAATAGACTTTTTAGGAGCGTTTTATTTAAGCAAATTTCACAGTTCTGTTGTCAGCTTACACATTGCCACCGATGGTAAGCCGTGTAGTCACTTTTTTCTAAGCTAAGAACCATTTCACCCCAAAAGAATGCTACTTGGACAGATAAGTACGACCTCTATGGAATTACCAAAGAGCTAATACCCAATTATTTGATCAACAAACAGGAAATCATTGACAAAGCCTATGAGGCTTCTCGGTGTAAAAGTGAAATGAGTGATGAAGAACCGGAAAGTGTCATAGAGGCCAATTATGACTCATGCGACACAGATTCGGCGAGTCAAAGTGTAAGAGATCGCTTGGAACTCACTATGTAATGATATATCAGTTTCTGCTGTGTAATTTGTTTCCCTTTCACACAGCATTATTTTTAAACTTTGTGCTCCATCCTGTTTAACATGTCATGATTTAAAAAAAATTTCACAACTGTCACGTAGGACATCTGTCGGAACAACTACAAGAATGAAACGGCTCCAAGAGTGCCAAAGGTATCGTTAATAACCATTTCATTTGTGGTAATCCTCATGTTTGTGTTTTAATGGATAGTTCTCTCACTTCTCAGCAGCGATTCTGTAGAAGACGAAGTCCGGGTTACAGTTATCGAAATGACAAGGGAAGACACAACGTCGAGGTTAATACCGATGAGACAAAACGGCAAAATTATCTGCGCCAGTTCTCGCCCACGCCGCTGCCCGAGGACACTTCCTCAACTTCCATGAATCTCTCCGTTCCTTCCTCTTCGTTGTCTTCTTTATCGAAGCTGAGGAATTTCCTCGCTGTCCATTCACCTAAGTGCCTCCGCAAGGCGCAGGGCTCACATTCCAGCTCCATGTCCACTACGGCCAATTTGGCCACGTCTGCACTGTAAGTGTATAGCTTCTTCTGCTTCTTACCTCCATCAATCAATTTCCTTCTCAGGCCGATGATCTTAAAACTACTCGAAAGTAGATCTTTGGACTGTTGGTATTGTATTAACGAGCAGTAAGAAAGCATGGTCTTTTGTCACTGAACAGTTGCTCTTATTTTTTACATCTGCATCCTCATATCGTACTCGTTGAGGTTAGCTGCAAAAAGTTGAGAAGTATGAGGAGATCAAAACTTCACGCTGAAAATTCCAAGAGATCCTAATCACACAGTACTCTATCAAAATGAGTGGAAATCACCACCCTCAGCTACCGTTGGTAGAATTCCTGAGCATCTTCAGTCTCTATTACTCGTAATTGCCGCAGATTAAACGAGGAGATTGTGCGAGAGTTGGAGAGAAGTGTCAAGAGCGAGCTCTCCAGCGTACTAGACGCCCTCGGTCACGTTGTAATACCGCCATCGTGCACTCCGGCAACCGGAACTAACCAACACCACCATCGGCACCATCACTATCACCACCACAACCGCTTCAAACATACTCGCAGTTGAATCGACCCCAACGACACCAGAAAACGTCGTCCACGGCATGCCATTGCACCTTACTTGTGCCGCCTCACTCACATTACCATCATTTTTGTATCCTTAGCTTGCCTTTTTAATTTGCTTTGGAATTATATGTTTTTCGACAACATGTATTGAGTTGAATTAGTTACTTTTAAAATACAATGAATCTGCTTTTTTCCGTCTTTTAATTTCTCCCGCAACTAATGGCCGTGAAAAAAGATCCAGGGTATAGATTGGGTTTATTTGACGTTTGGTAAAAATTGTCCGATAAACGTTCGGAACGCCTCTTTGGCTGCAGCGGTGGTTGGGATCATATGGCCACCAGGATGCACGAAGGTCGTTTGTGGAGCCGTATAGAGGGGCAGCAGTTCTTCAGTCATTTCTAAGGTGAATATAAATAGCCACGTGCACTTCAAGAAGGGCCAGTTCGCCAGCAGGCAAAGCAGACGAAACGAACCTGCGGGAATAACCTTGTCATCCCTACCATAGACGAGGAGGGTGGGCATTTTGATTAACCCCTTGTAAAGCGGGGCGTGGAGGCTTGAGCGACTCCTGAAGGGGGCAACGAGAATAGCGAAATTCACGGTGGGTGCATTCCACTCTAAAGGGAGTAGGGGGAGAGTTAAGTGAAGTGAGAGAGAGAGACGAACCCTGTGGATGCTGTTCCATTAGGAGTTGGAGGAGGGTAACAAAGGCAGCGCCCTGGCTGAAAGCGAAGATGCCATCGAAAGGGCCCTGCTCTTTGAGTGCATTCTTTACGACCTCCACGGATTCATCGAAGCCCCGCAGAAAGTCTGTATGCTCGGCGGGGTCGAAGGAGTCGTCGCTCTGAGAGAACCACCAGCCAAAGCCCTGGTCCACAGTGTCAGCAGGGCTAGGGATTTTCAGGGGGGAGTCGATGAAGACTGTCGAAAAAAGAACAAAAACAGTGAAAGTAGACATGAAGAGAAGAGACTTACCGAACTCACAAGAACCTTTGAGAATCTTGCGGAAGTAACCAGATTTCTCACGGAAGGTATTACCTGTTTGGCTTAACAAGTTGGGTTATTTAGTGTTAATTTGATGTTTATGTTGGAAGTTACCCTTTTACTCGTCCAGAGAATATGCAGCATTATAAGCGAAATAAGTTTATGAGAATAAAGGTACTTTAAAAATGCAAAACTCATAGCAAGTACAGGTCATTACTAAACAAAAAACCCGATGAAAAGCACGTCACATGCCCCTCTGTTTACAGTAGAGAAATAAGACCATGATTACAAAAAGTCACGAGTTAAGCATAAGAATCACCGGTATCCGTGAATACAGAGGATCTACAAACAGTGACATTACTTGTACAAATGACATACCCTCAGTGACATCGTCTGTTGGTACAAATTCACACAGAAACTAAAACGAGTTAGTGTAGATTTCAAGGTCTTTCAAAGTAATGAGTTTGTTACTGTTATGCAGATTACTGAACTGCTTAGTGCCATTAAGGCAAATCTGTGTTCAAAATGCACAAACAGTAAGGCAAAGTTAAATGCAACTTTAAAATATAACATCGCCCCTATGCGATTAGTTGGTGTTTGAGGTAAAGTCCAATATTTAGAAGTTAGATTTTTCTGGGAGCTTTTATTAACTTACTAAGTTAGAAATTTTGATAGAGACTGGCAGCACACTGAACAATACATAAACCAGACTGCTGCCGAGTTGCATTTTACGAGATCATAAGGCGTAGGTCAGGAAATTGCATTAAGCCATAATTGCTCCTAGAAGTTTTTAAAATTTTACATGAATCACTTGCATAGTTTCTGATTTTTTTAAATTTGACACTACTTAATACTCTCTAGGATCTACCGGATTAGCGCTACTACAATCCCTTAAGCAACACATGGCACTTGATAATTAGGTAATTAATCGCATCACAATGTCACAACATCCCCCACCAAGTTGCACGAAATGCATTGACCAGTCCAAAGGTCACAAGAAATACAATTCCTGACACCTGGTGCAGAAGCCCACGCCAGTCTCAGACTCCCCCATCCCTCAGAAGACAACGAATAGTCGGACCGATTTGTCTGAAGACCCAGTGAAGGGCATAAATAAGAACACACAAATGCACAGGAAGTCACAAAACCAAGAGTGTATCAAAGTCAAGTAAAAGACCACTAATATTATGCATGGTTAATGGATTGACAACATCCACACGAATCAGCGCGAAAGAAGCGAAGCTGTAATGAAACGTCTATTTCATTTTCGCCACCGAGGCCGAGGACGCTGCCGGCGCCGTCTTCTGGGTCTCCAACTGTTTGCCCAGGTATTCCCTGCATAAAGAATGGAATGTCAGCATGAATGGCTGCATCTAAGCCACTTAGGGGAAGTCCACCGAACTCACCAATTGTGCACCATGATTTTCTGCAGCGCCAGCAGTGCGTTGTAGCGCACGCTGGGGTCATTGTGCTGCAACAGCGACATTACTACCTGCTTTCCGCCAAGCTGGTCAATAACCCTAAGGGAAAGACTGGTTGAGGGAGAAGAGAAAACTGATTTACTGTTTGCCTCGCGGGTAGTGGCGCACAAATTCGCCCACGTCATGAGCTGCCACTGAGAGAATCACCGCCTCCGTTGAGCTCTCCATCAGGTAGACGAGCATTCTGTGCACAGGCGGATCAACAAATCTTTATACAGCCTCACCAGGGCATACTGAGATGGAAGCATGCTCACAATAAATGATCTAATTACCTCCATGGCTCAGCTAGTCTTGTAAATGAGCTAAGCGGTTTAGGTCTGACTCCACCCTGCAATTTGAGGCTAACTGCCTACTTAGTCAGTACTGAACCATAAAATGGCAATTTTTTCGTGAATATTGAGTCTCGAAATGTTTCCATTCTTCGATGGCACCTTAGCCAGTCAATTCAGGATACCGTCGAAAAGACCCAATTGTAAGCAAATAAAATAATACGTGATGGCTCCCCCTCAAGCAGATAAGCATCTAGACCCCTCTTATTCATTCACCACCACCAAGCCCATCCGCCTTGTCGATTCAAAAGAGTAGTGTCCACAACATCGGCCTTCAACAGAGCATTGCACACCTCAGGCTTGGGTCAAGTTGTTGCCCACATGGCCTATTGGGATTGCTGGCAATTACGGAGTTACTTGGATCACCGACCAAGAAAATAACACTCTGATCCTTAGCACACTGATGTTTCGAGCTGTTTGCTACACTAGCTTCAAGTCAGAAGTGGCACTAAGGTAAGAGATGATATCGACTCACTTAAGCAGTTCGTAGTTGTTCTCGGTAAACTTAACGGCATTTTCGCGCCAAAACTTCTCCGATTTGTGCACCGGCGACCACTCCAGCCGACCCGAGGTCAGCTCCGTGGTGTACTCCTCTAGGCTGCTCACGTCCTGCACGCTTGCCTTCAATGTCTCCTGCAAAATATCGACACAAACAAGTGGAACACCCGTCTACATTACACGCATTGACGTCACCCAATCCGGCAATGGAAGTCTGTTTCTCATTCTTAATTAACAGAACCACTAGGGCCTGCAGAAAAAGAAATCAAGAAGGCAAAGTTCACCCAAAGTCAAAATAACATCCGCAGTGGTTAGCAAACAGCGACTGGGCTTTCCAGTGGCCATCATTAGAAATGTGCAAATCACTTTTGCACCTCGATAACGGCCGTGAAAAATGCATGTACAAATGCAAGAGGAGGAGGTAAATAAAAAAAAACTCGGGGAAATTAAAAAGTGGCATTGTGAAGTCTGTACACATAAAAGGTCCGATTTCCCTAAAAGGGAACTGATTTTGAACGTCTATATTGCTTTGGTAAATCACATTGGCCTCTGCTTTCATTGCAGTGAAGTGGCACCACTTTTGAAGTTATTTTTGTGAACAAATGAACAATATCATAAGTCGCTTGTGCTATTTACGGAAAATTTCCACTGATACAAAATAGCCAGTTCGAAAGAGCCAAAAAACGTTGGGTCGACAAAGCTTCAACTGATGAATACGGCTAGTAACGAAAGTTTCTGATCGAGCAAACGATTTCAATTTCGATACAAACACAATAACTGTAATTGAGACAAAACAGTAAAGCACAAATGCTAGAGAGCTTGGTTAAGAACTTAAGCGAATAAGTTACAATGGAAGTCAAACTCATTCTAAAGCCTGTCCAGTTTCCCTCACACAGCATAGATGCAAAATTGGCGAAAACACTACTGCATATAGCAGAAAAACCTTGTATTAGTCCCTTTGCTATCCGTTCACCATTCAAAGCTTCAAGATGGCAAAAGGGTAATTTGTAAGCAAATGAAAAGACAAACCAACGAAACACTCGAACCTGTAGAAACTTAAGATCCTCAGTCAACTCAGGGTCATGGCTGAAATCCTTCTGTGAGAGGAGTTCCAGACGCTTGAGAGCCTTGCACTGTACCATCCGCAGGGAACACTCGCGCATCACCACCGGATCGTCTAACTTCTCTAGCACGGACTGGGAGGGGCATTCGGAAAGAGACGTCACAAACAAATACAAGGACCGTCAAGGAGATTGAGAATAAAAGCATACTCGCAGAAAGGCCATGCAAATTCGCAGAACCTTCTCTCGCTCAGCATCACAAAAGACATCGCAAACGGCAGGCAGAAGGGTCGGATTTCTGGCAGAAGAGAAAGTGGAGAGTAAGATCCTTACTACAAGGACAAACCTACTTCACCATAACCTGCACCAAGTTGGCATTAAAACTGAGACACCAGAGGCAGAAAATGAGCTTGTAGTGAAGTTCACAATTAGTCTCCCTGTTAGACAACACCTTGATAAGCCTAAAATATGCAGTTACGGAAAGTAGATGCGGAAAATCTACACATCAACACCCTGTTTAGTCACAAAAGTACTGCGATAATCGCGTACACGAAGAAGCATCTGCAAATTACGAGCTATTGTTTGCAAATACTCGTTGCCCTAAAAATATGTAGAGGAGAGATATCAAAGACAAACGGGCTTTTGAAGGTTCTCGAGAAGCCAACCAAAGAAGTAAATTAGCGACTTTTCGTCGATTTGTTGAGTGGACCAACAGGCGAACTTGGTGATTATCTTTGATACCTTAAAGAAGTTCCACCATTTGGAAAGGACTATACCTGATAAACGCAAACAAGATCAGTTCGCTGAAGGAAATTGAAGAAATGATTCCAGATATTCTCCGACTTTGAGTCGAAGTACCGACGAAACAACTCAACACGAGATGTATCCTCCTAATTTGGGCAGATCAATCAAGTAAGGTTATACTTTTAACATGTCGTCCATCATAGAAAGCAAATACTGCAAAGTCTGCTCCTTGGAAATACGATTTAAGATCGAAACGGACAGCTGCGCAACCTAAGGAATGGGTTGCAAATAATCAATAGCAAACCTCGCCCTTAAATTCGTTAACTACACGAGCTCGAGCTTCCACAGTAGTAGCGTTATCAAGGTGTGATATAAAATCAAACTGCCTCTGGCTAATCATTTGCCCTCTAAAATTGATGTTTACAGCGCCAAGTATACATCTACTGGAGATAAGACTGCCAATTAACCCGAGCAAGACGAACGTCGGAAACTTTGCCCTCTAAATTCGTCATTTCGATGTGTCCTTGAAGAGCTAAATAGGCGAATTTACGAAAATTCAGAAAAATACCCCCATAGTCAAGGTCCTGTATGCTAGAACTCCCAAAACCTACACCCTGAGACATGATGCCGAGACAGTGCAGACAAAACCCACAAATTGGGTGGCCTTTGCGTAAATAAAGACGCCCAAACCACAATATAATCGCCTGTTTCGAGTAAAAAATAGTGAATTTTGTTAATAGTTACTTAATTCTGGCGATTTCATTCTTAACACTTTGTTTTTCGACGAACCACAAGAAACCTTAAAAGAGGTCTACAATATACTGACTATGATATGTCCTTTAAAAATCAAAAAAAGGGTTTAGGATGACTCTTAGGAACAGGCTTTTTTATGTGCTTAGTGTAGCGTCCCAGGACTCCCTGAAGACTAAAGTAGACAAAATACTCAGGCAGAATATATATCCGGCGCAGAGAAGGTATCTGGGCTATTGGCATGGCCCAAAAGGCCAGCCCACCCAGTGAGGTAAAAGGGAGCTAATTCAAAGTATACAAGTGGTGCCTCCCCAATGCCGAGGGACAAACCACTATCGTATTACATTAGTGCCATAATGCAATCAAAAATCTTTGTTTATTGTTTATGGTTCTCAAATAATTGTTAAGAAGTACCTTTCTTACCCTTTTTTAAAAATACAGATCAGAAAACTGGCTGTTTGAGCATGTGCAGAAAATTGCGCGATGTCTAGAAATCACAAACTAGGCGGCCTTCTAAGTGTGAGGCTCGTTTTGTGCTTTTTGTGTTTTGTCCGATAAAACCTTCATTAAGAGTAACATTTTCATTGTCCTGAAAGCCCAATATACTTAATCAAAGCTATGGGATGACTATCGCTAATTAAATACATAACCATAAGTTCTCCGTTCTACAGCAGTAATCGATTTACTAAAACAAAAACCAAATGAGACGTTGCATGATCAGTCCGCCAGAAGGTGGGCGCAAAATGATAATTAAAGAGTGGTCGTGAAACTGAGACCAGTAAAACAAAGGTAAGACCGTATGTCCGTAAGTGCTTGTGTATGCGTCAGATCCAGATTTACATCTACATTTTTGAGCACTTGAAAGTACGTCCGTTGATACTGATGATCATTGGTTGAGCCAGATCCAGAGCCTGTGGCTGGGGACCCACGAAACTCAGAGTGAAGCTAGAGGGCAGTTGGTTTGGTGAGGTGACGGGTATTGTAACACTAGGTCCTACACACGGCGATCCTATGCTGGCCGGCGCAACGGGCTCAGTCTTCCACAGGGCCACAGGCGGCGTCGAAAGGGTACCACCGACGTTGGGAATCTCACCTGTCTGGCATTCTGCCACAGGAGATGCAGTTCCAACGCACCGCAACAGCTCTCTTTCCATCGCACCCTCATTCTTCATCTCTTCCAGCATCTCCAACACCTTTTTGCACATGGGGGAATGTAGATCCGCCTCTTTGGCGTCCACACTCTCCGCTGAGGGTAGGCGACGTGGCGGCGATGCACAGCCCCGGCTCTGCTGTCCCGCGCTTATAGACGCCTGCTCGGAGCGCACAGCTTCGACAATGGAGGGGATGGTGTCTATCAAACTCTTCATTCCTGATCGGATGTCCGCCAGCTCCTCCGACAGCCCCTGCAGCTGCATCGTCCCAGATTCGCGTGACAACTGTCCCGACACTTCCGTCTGCTTATCTATAAGGCAGCGCAAGTCTTGCTGAAGAGTTAGAATACTCTCTCTTATCTCACTGTACTTCGGGTCGTCTACGTTCACTGACGCGGAGCATGCGTTGGTCATAATCTGCTGCATGCTCTGACGGATTTCGTCCAGAGCTGTCCGCACGTAGGGATCTGTCGATGCTGCTGGCATTGGTGAGACGTTTTGCTCTGAGATCCGCGACTGTGCCAACTCTTGGTTCGGCGCACTCATGCATTTGTCTATAGAACCTTTTGAGCTGGATCTAGGCAGGTTAGAAATATCTCCGCTCCTTCTAACTCCCGTCAAGCTATTTAGAATATCCTCATTGACTGACTTCTTAGAGTTGTTCATCACGAACATATTAACACTAGGTCGTTGGGAAGCTGACGACGTTCTTCCCTCAATAGAAACAAGGCTACCCTTAATGTCCCGTAAAACATCCATCATGGTGGAATCAGCGGCATTTCGTTGGCTTGTACGACTTGTTTCCAAGCACCGAATGCTAGAACGGATTTCACCAAGTAAGGAAGCCACATCGGGGTTCAACTTCCTCGCGGACATCGCGGATTTTGTTTCCAGTCGATTAACTGATTGACGCATCTCGTTCAGTGTTGCCATCATTTGTTGATTTTTTAGCTCTGATTTTTCAGAATTTGCGATTTCAACAGCGCGAATACTTTGCCGCACGGATTCCAGCATCGCCATCATTTCTTGATTCGCCTGTTCCTGGGCCGTGTGGGTTCTCTCCTCCACACTCCCTATAGTTTCACGGATTTCTTCAAGTGCGTTAAGTACCTCCGGTTGCACTGGCATCTGCTCCTGTTGAGCGGTGCTAAGAGTTCTAATGCTATCTCGAACCTCAGTGAGCATATTTAGCACCTCAGGTCCGGGACTACTTGCATCTCTGCACTCAATGGCACTAATGCTTTGACGAATATAATTAAGAGTGCTGCGCATTTCGGAAGCCTCCATACCTTCCTGCGGTGGCATACTACGCATGCTCAGTTTTGACCTTTGAGTTGGACGAGTGCCACACGAGGTTCGTGGATCAGTGAGACCGCCTTCTCTAAGGTACTGGGGCGAGAGTCTTGAGCTTGGTGATCGAAAATCCACATTACAACCCCCCACCTCCTCAAAAGCGCCTTTTGTCAAAACAGACGCATTTCTCGGCCCTGTGTCATAGTATTCGTCATGACCAGATTTTGTAGAGCCTAACACTGCCTCGGCATCATGAACATCAGAATCTTTGCCTCGGCTAGGCGAATTTAAACTATTGCGCATATCGTAGAGAAGTTCCAGTACTTCTGGATCCACTTTTATCTGCATTGTATCCTGTTTTGACTCAATATTTTGCATGCTCTCACGCACCTCCTTCAGTGTCTCTAAAATCTCTACTTCTGTCGGTTTCTCCGAGAGTCGGTCCTGGCCTGATTTTAAATTGCTTCGCTCAATACACTTTTCGGTTAATCCACTCTCCAAATGTGATGCTTCCCTCGAATTTTGATCAGTCATTTTGGAAGAGTGTGAACTAGACCTCCGGGTTTGAGCGATTTCGCACATTTCTTCGGATTCTTTTCGCTTTGAAAGAGATTGCTTAGAATCCGAACTTTTTCGACTGTAACGAGCTGCCTCTTGAGGAATGCTACCACATGGTTGTTGACTTCGAGATGTGTTCAAGTAGTCATGAGCACTCTGGAGAAACTCCTCCCCCTCCGGACCCATGGAGACTATCTTTGCATAGAGAGCCTCCGGGCTGCAAGTTTCAAGTCGAGTGGACCCAACACTTCCAGCGCAAATTGTCAAGAGCTTTGCACACAACTCTACTGGATCCGCGATCTGCGATCCCTGCTTGGATCTTGAACTTCGGGAAGAATGAGATCTGAATGAGCGCAGTATTTTTGAGAGCTTTGTAGACTTCCTACTTCCAGGTTCCATGTCAGTGGTAAGGCTCCTATCTTTATTTAAAGCACAATCTTTAGTCGGCTGCGCTAGCTGTTCCATGGACTCAGAGCATCGTGGCGGGGTAGAAAGTCGATCTGCAGCAGAATCCGCCCTCTCTTGAATGATGCATGCATAATCAGAGCCATTGGGCTCTGAGGCCGCGTTTGAAGAGACGACGGAAGCGAGGCCATTGGAACCCCGACAACTGCCCTCCAATGCATTTCTATCCGATCCAGTAAGTGATCCTTTTGATTCAGGTAGTTCACAGGCTTTTGAAATACTAGCACTCTTTGCAAAGCCTGTGTTTTCTCCGATAGGCTGACCGCTGCGATTGCTCCCACTATATTTGTTAGAGATACCAGATTTTATACTGGAGGAAGTTCTGGCAGGCGCCACCATCAAAGGTGAATCTTGAGGTGTCGGTGGTCCTTTGGCAGATGAAGCTTGAGAAATCACAGATGCTGATCTCTGCTGATCCGCGTCACTACATTTGCTCGCTTGAAGCCTCGAAGAACGCGCCACAGTATGACCTGCATTCGAATATTTTAAGGAAGAGGGATCATCTTTCAGGGAAGTTTTGAGACCCCCTGAACTTCGTAGCCTTATTGCGGAGGGTTCTGCGGGATCCTTTAAAGAACAGGTTTTGGTAGCAACACTTGGGCTACATGAGTTTCCGCGCAAACCTTCTTCTCGGTTGGATGCGACTGACTTGCGCAGTGAGTTCGTATGCTCCACCTCTGTTGGAGGCAATTCGATCGAATTTACCTTCAAGGAGGGAGGTCGTACTGCCGAGTTGGAGAGTTTACTTGATCCACAGGACCCCTCTTTCAGAGATCGTATGCTCCTTTCAACTTCACGTAGAACGGTAGGCACATCCGAACAGCGTGGTTGGGAACATTCAATGGATTTATAGTTGAGACTCTCGCTTATAACAGGCTCATTCAATCGAGCCCTAATCTGTTTCAGTACAGTCTCAATTGAGGCTATAGTGCTCTCCCTCAAGGTTGCATTGCATGTTTTCGTTGATTCCAAAAGTGTGTCTTTCAGGTCCTCCAGAAGCTTTACAAGAGCTTGAGAACATTCACTTCTTGAGTTATTTAAGCTCACTGCCTCGCCAGGAGATTTAGGGTCGTCCAAGGAGAGGTCATTCCCAGCAGAGCAATTGAATTGTGATGTCGCTACCATACCCTCATCAGTGCAATTGAAGGTATCACTTCGAGTTCCATTTTGGCTAGCAATATTGGGCTTTCTTCTACTGACGCTATTCGTATTCCCACTGTAATCCATTGCTGAAGCACTTTCGGTTCTACGTCCTAGGACGTCTGAAATGGTGATGAATCTTCGACAAGCACTACTAACATCCCCCATTTCTACTATTTTCCTAGTCATTGGAGCATTCCACATGTTGTCAAGCTCCTGCATCGTATCTCCCGGCACTTTCCACGTGCTGCGTGCACAACCCCTCCCCGTGAAAATCGATGGGGATGGCTAGATCATATGCCTTCTGGAGGCAGCCTTCCTGCGATTATGGGTAAACTACCTATTCTAAAAGCACAGCATATAATAAAGGGGTAAGCAAACACTGATTTGAGAATCAAAATTCGATATATCATGAAAGGATTATTTATTTTTCGACATTTGAAACATTGGCGTAAAATGAACACGTAATGTTTGCAATGCCGTCAGAAGGACCACTGTTTAATCACTTTGAAGTGAATGGTTTGGTGATTGCTATTCTGAGTGAGGTTCTTTCAAACACTCGTCAGTATTCCATTCATGAATGTTGTTTTGGTTTTTGCTGTTATCGCTATTCTGACTGTTGCCGCTTACTCCTGGTTCGGCAAAACGGTCGGATAGATTGTTTGATCGGGCTCCCGAGAAAATAGTCCCATTTGCTTCAGCGATCTGCCATTCATCGTGAGTAAAGGGGTAGGGCTTCAGAGAGGTCCCACTGTACTCAACTGGCTGGCCATCAGGATAGTCGGCAGAAGATGGTGATGGTTTGTCACTATTAGGTGGACCGGCATTTAAGGCCTGTTCGACTGTTAGGCCATCAGCTGCTGCTGGCGCTTCATCATGTTCAAAGGGATGATCGTTTTGGGCAGTTCCAGTGTATTCAACGGGAAGGGGGGCTTCAGCAGAAGGGGGTGATATTTCTTCTTGATTACAAGGATAAGTCCCGCTGTATTCGACTACTCTTCCAACGGGCACATTCTTAGACTGTGGAGGCGTTTCAACATACTGACATAGCATGTGTTCCAAGTTTTTGATGCAAGTATTGGCGGTAACTAAGGCGTTCAAAGCCCTCTTAATAGACTCATTGCTGGGTATCTGCGGAGCATTTGAAGTTGTAATTTGTGCTAGACTGCATTGAATCTCGTGAATGCAGGCTGAAACCTTAGACTCACCAACCCCTTGATTACGCACCTCACATTCTAGAACCTTCAGCAGTTCCAGCACTCTTTCCACTGTGTCAGGCATGGTGCTTGTCGGTGTAATTACTTTCTTTAGAGCATTTAGTAATGCAATAACCATAGTTTCAGTGTCATTTTCTGGAAAACAGACATTTGGTGTCATGCATTGAATGAATTCGCGAAGTTTCGCTATTACTTCGTTCAGCTGAGGCGTCTCCTTAATTGCACCAAGGCCCTGGTCACATGCATCCTGCAGTTTCAGTAGAATCTGTTGAACTTCAAGGACAGCTGCACCAATATCGGACTGTTGCAAACCTTGCTTGGACACCTCACATTCAAGACATCGCATAATCTTTTCCAACCTTTTCAAAACCTTGTCATCAGGACGCACCAACTGGAGTGCGCCCTTCAACATTTTCAGTAAGCCTAAAATTCTCAATTCCAAGTCACAAGTTGGAAAGTTGGCATCATCTTTGATGTGCTGGATGGCCCTTTGAAGTATTACTACGATCTTGCTCAAAATAGGCGTCTCTTTTAATTGCAATCGACAGGGATCCAAATGATTAATCGCTCTCGAGCTATTAATTTTTTTAATATATTGTTGCACTTCGCAAATACTATCTATCAGTCTCGAATTGTGCAAGCCTTGCTTCAATATTTCACCTTCAAGACTTTGCAGTTGCTGTGCTACCTTCTCTGAAGTACTGACATTGAGAATTCCCGACTGAATATTATCCTTCAGAAATAGCATTATGCAAATAATCGTGGATTGAACATCGCAATCTGGAAACACCACGTCTGGTCTGCTGCAGAGGAGGAGCTTTTGAATCTCCATAATAATGTTTGAGAGTTGAGTCGTCTTTTGCAATGTCATATCATGTTGGGTAGGTACGCACTGTCTGTCTATAGCGGCTTCACTGTCCAAGATTTGAAGTATCTCCTGAATTTCACGTATTTTTGGCAGGATATCCGAATTCTCTCCAACTTGTCGACAGATTTCACTTTGAAGACATTTCAAAATTTTACCAATTGTCTGAAGCTTGCGTGACTCAAGACACTCAGTTTGAATTATATCCCTTATGATCGACAATGAGCAGGAGAGCGATGATCCAAGATCATGGCGTAGAGGAGCTGCATTTGGTCGCATGGAGAGAATAAGCTTTTCAAATATTTCCATTAGCCTGCACAGTAGAAGTGACCCCGTGAGTTCTTTTTCATTTGGACGGATTACAGTTGATTTGTCCACAAATTCATTGCATTGACCATTGGTCCTCTGCTGTAATTCATGTACAGTGCAGGCTTCGGAATCCAGGTTATCCATTGACTTTTGAATATCCTGTAGAATATTCACTGTACACATGATCATGCACTTGAGGTCACTATTAGGAAATTGGGCATTCGGTTGCATACACCGAGCGAGATTTTGAAGAAGCTCTATCCAATCACGCAACTGGGGTGAGTCTAAGAATGTAGGCGAATACGGAGAAGACTCTGCTTTCGAATCTGCATTGTCCACTGCATGTCGCGATGCCGACCTCGTTGTCGTGCCGCATTCAAGGACTGTTGAGCCTGCTTGTGCTGGACAATTCACCGTCGATGCACCAATACTTTTCATGACTTTTTCTATTTCACACGCTGCAGTACGTAGCGATTGCATCGTCTCATCGGCTGATGAGAGGCAGTTTCGTTTACAGGCAGGCAATGCTGCCTTACCGCTAGTATTTTCCCTTGACATACTAGATGCTGGAGTTATCAACTGGTCGCAAGTACTGTATGGCCCGAATTGCCCACATCGTCGGTTACTTTCTGTGGAAGGATTGTAGACGATAGTTTGTGCTTCCATGTTGAATGGACATTGAACGCGCCTTTGAGGAGCATTGGATTTCGTCTGATCACACCACTGGTGCTTTGAATCCTTCGACACGTTGCTCAACGGCGAAGGCATGCAAGCGAGCGCCTTTAAAGATACTTCGTTATTCAAGGCTTCTTCAGGCGAATGCATTGCTTTGATTACCTCGGTCGCACTCTGTTTCAAGCGCATAATAATTCTTTTAATGCTTTCACCACTGGAACCCAGCTGAGAGTTTTCATTGGGCGGACAATCCAGGGTGTTATCTTTCGTTGCAAAGGCTGATTCACAATCAGCTCCCACAAAATCATTCGAGTTGGTAAAGTTTAAGGTTTGTAATTGCGGTAGCCGATGACCTTCGCAGCCCTCAGCTTCACACTTTGCACCTCCTGCTTTCATCAGAACTGCTTCCGTTGTCATTAATTGCAATAGCACTTTGTTCTGATCCGTAATCATGTAATTCTCCACTCAAAGAGCCCTCCCTCGGATCAGAACCTTTCTGCATTCTAACCCACAGTGCCCACACCACACCCTCTGAAAATCGATACAATCGCTACATCACGTGATGCGACTGTAACCTCCACCACCAATTTCCTTACGCCTTCTGTGACGACGACTAAAACTTAGTTGAAAATAAGTACAAAAAAAAATAAAAGACAGAATTTTGAGTAGATATAAGGAAACGTGGGTAAGTAAATAAATATTTATTTTAGTTATCGCAAAAATGAATAGGAAGTTTCCAGAACAGCCATGTGCTCAATTCTGGGGAAAAAGCAAGTCGTCTCTTTTCTGAAAGTTGTTATTCCCATTGAAGCAAAAGTCTCTATCGTTTTGCCCACATGTGTCATTGCCCACGAAATCACGGAGAACATATTCCAATTCTCGAATGCATTCGTCCATTGTTTTCACAGTCCTTCCGACAACATCTTCCAAGCTTTCACCACCACATACCTGTTCAGAACCAGATTTTTGATTACAGACCAATTGCTTGACCTCGCAGATGGAAGTCAAAAGATTCGATTGAAATAGGCCCTGCTCACACACCTCACATTCAAGGGAATCCAAAATTTTCTTAAGCTTCCCCATAACAGATGGCTGGAGACCTTGACATTGGAGAATGTCTTGCAAAATTTTTAGGCAGCACAAAATTGTTGACTCTAAATCACAACTCTTAAATCGAATGTCTGGTTTCAGGAATTGGACAATCTTTTGAAGTTCTGGCACCAAACAGCGCAGATTAGGTGTCTCTCTGAGTGATGATGAATCGCAGGGACCAGCACCACGTTGCTGATTTGAGCTTCCACACGCACTGCCTTGGTTTAGCAGCTGTTGAACCTCACGCACCTTGGCTAAAAGAGCTGATGCAGCTTCATACTGTTTGCAGAGTTCACTTCCCAAGCACTTCAACATAGTTCCTATCCTCTCCACTGCGCCAGGATCCGCGCACTGAATGATCGTCTTCAGTGTCTCCAGCATGCACATGAGAGCCGACTGTAAATCACAACCACTGAGTTGTGCATCCGGTTTAAGACATTTGATGAGACTTTGCAACTGATTTGTAATTCTGCATAGCTCAGGTGTCGCCTTTAATGAGGTACCGCATTGGTTAACATCGGCTTGTCCACCCGAGGTCCCACAACTCGATCCACCATTCAGCAACTGTTTAATCTCTTGAACTTTTGCTGCAAGAGTAGGATTACCTTGACCCTGATTGTATAACTCGGATTCCAGACATTGCATCATCTTCGGAACCTTCTCCACGGCCTTGGGATTGGCGGATCCTGACTGAATAATTTCCTTCAGTTGGTTAAGTAAGAATAGGAGAGTTGATTCTAAGTCACAATTTGGGATTTGCAGGTCTGGTTTCACACACTGGATGACATTTTGAATGTGCTTGACCAAGCAAGTCAAAAGACGTGTTGGCTTTAGAGAAGAACCGCGTTGATCGTTACCGCATTGGAAGGCACCGTGTTGCTGATTGGAGCCGCCGCATCCATTTCCCCTGTTTAGCATTTGTTGAATCTCACGCATCTTCGATAAAAGCTCCGATGAGGCTTCACGCTGTTCACAGAGTTCAGTTTCCAAGCACTTCAATATAGTTCCTACTCCCTCCAGTGCACTGGAATCGGCACACTGAATGATCATCTTTAGAGCTTCCAGTATGCACATGATAGTAGATTGTAAGTCACTACCACCGAGTTGTGCATCCGGTTTAAGACATTTGATGAGACTTTGTAATTGCTTTATAATATTACATAGTTCAGGTGTCGCTTGTAGTGTGGTACCGCATTGGTTAACGTCGGATTGCCTGTTCGAGGGCCCACAGCTCGATCCACCATTCAGCAACTGTCGAATTTCACGAACTTTTGCTACAATAGCGGATTTACCTTGACCCTGATTGTACAACTCTGATTCCAGGCAGTGCATCATCTTTGGAACCTTCTCCAAGGCCTTGGGATTGGCGGATCCTGACTGAATAATTTCCTTCAGTTGGTTAAGTAAGAATAGGAGAGTTGATTCTAAGTCACAATTTGGGATTTGCAGGTCTGGTTTCACACACTGGATGACATTTTGAATGTGCTTGACCAAGCAAGTCAAAAGACGTGTTGGCTTTAGAGAAGAACCGCGTTGATCGTTACCGCATTGGAAGGCACCGTGTTGCTGATTGGAGCCGCCGCATCCATTTCCCCTGTTTAGCATTTGTTGAATCTCACGCACCTTCGATAAAAGCGCTGATGCAGCTTCAGACTGTTTACAAAGTTCCCTTTCCAAGCACTTCAACATATTTGTTATCCTCTCCAGTGCACTAGAATCCGCGCACTGAATGATTGCCTTCAGAATCCCCAGCATGCACATAATAGTCGACTGTAAGTCACAACCCGAGAATTGCGCATCCGGTTTGAGGCACTTGATGAGGTTTTGCATTTGCTTTATAATATTGCACAGTTCAGGTGTCGCCTGTAGTGAGGCCCCGCATTGGTTGGCATTGGTTTGGCACGCGTCAAATTGGTTGGAATAGCACTGGTCACTCGGGTTGAGCATTTGCTGGACCTCATGGATTTTCGCTACGACTTCAGACTCGCATGGACGCTGTTTGCACACTTCGCTTTCGAGGCATGTCATCAGTTTTGTTATCTCCTCCAGCGGCTTGGAATTGCACCCATATGATTGAATAATTTCCATCAACTTGTCCATTAGGAATGAAAGATTGGCTTCAAATCCACAATCCGGGAATGCTGTATCTGGTTGGCTGCATTGAACGATCCCCTGAAGTTGCTTAATAATCTGAGCCATTTGCAGTGTTTCGGACAGATCGGCACAGCATTGATCGGAGTTGTTAGGGTTGTTCGGATTGGCATTCGATTCCCCATTGTTTAGCATGAATTTTTGGAGTTCATTTATCTCAGCTGCTATTTGTGAGCCTTTTCCACCCTGTCTATTTAGTTCACAGGCAAGGGACTTCAGCGTCTTATTAATTTTTCCTAATTTATTTGAATCCGGACGATCTGTTGAAATAATATCCTTCAGCATCGCCAATGTGCAGCGTATGCTTGATTCGAGATCACAGTCTTGAAATGTCGCATCTGATTTGATACATTTAATTTGTTTTTGAAGGCATGCTGATGCTTTGTTCAATTGGGAGGTGGGCTTAAGTGGCTCTTGGTCTGTAGCACAGTCTACAGCTTTATTTTCTTCATCTATCGGCTCCTTACCCACTTCGTCATTCCCTTGCGAACCCAAGAGTTTGTATATATCATTTAGCACCGAAGTTAACATTTCATTGATCTCATCAGATGAAATTTCATCCCGTTTACACTGAAGTGTCCTCACTGTCTCTTGCATGTTTATCAGCGTAGGATTACCAACTAGATTGGTATCAGTAGGCTCTGGAGCATCCACTACTTCCTCATTTGGAGCAGCACTTTCTGTTTGATCGTTCTGGGTTATATTTTCAGTAGTGGGTGCACTCCCATCTGCCGTGCTGTTCACTTGCCCTCGCAAATTCTTATTTAAATCACATAATTGCATTTTTATATCGCGGATCTCCTTCAAAATTCTTCCCTCTCCAGTAGACGCTTGCGCGCACACTACACGCGAAATCTCGCCCACACTTGTCTTCAACTGTGCAACAGTTCGTTTTACGCTCTCTGCATCAATGTTGCCTCGTCCTTGGTCTTTATTCGTAGCACATGTATTTGCGTTGTTCGCATTTGAGACACATGACTGTATTGGCTCCAGGCAATCCGCGAGTTTGCTATTAAGATTGCTTTCTCCGCGATCTCCGTGATTTCGGCTTTCCATTTTCATACCTACCAATTCACGCGGCTGATCTCTTCTGTTCACTGTGTCCCGGCAGTTAAGTCAAGACACCCCTCAACTCGCAGTGGCCCTCAAAGCGTACTTCCAACGATTGTTATGAAAATCAATATGTCAAATGTTTCACGTGACAAACATTCGGACATCCAAGTGACAGTCTAAGCGTCTTAACACACACTGTTCTAAAGAGCACTTATCAGAACAACGTGAAATGGAAAGTAACAAGTTTAGATCGAATCATTTATTAATTTTTTTAAATTATTGGGTTTAACTTAAAAAGAAATAATAGTTGTGGCTTTTTCAAGACCTCTTTTTGCGGAGTCTCGTCACCATTTTTTTAGGCAGTTGGGTCTCGTTCACTGTAGATAATGTTGTTGAGAGTTTCCTGCATCAGACACGCTTCAGGAATTGGCCGCTTCCTTACACTCAACTTCGTCTGCCAATGGACTGGCTGTTTGGCTAATTCCATCCGGATCGTTATTGGTATCAGCATTCAGTGGGGCACTTTGTGTGTTCTCTGCACCTTCCGCAACTGCTGGTCTAATTTGATGAATATGATTAGTATTTTCAAATTCGAAGGAGTTTATTGAGCCAGTTTCAGCGTTTTCCTCCACTTTGGTATCGGTTTTAACTGCCTTTGCATTCATAACCATTTCCTCCAACTGACGCGTATAAGCAGCGAGCACGGAGGTCCCTGCGCCCTGCCTAGAGAGCTCAATATCAAGACACTTCAAAACTTCCTTTGCCATTCCCAAATTGGACGAATCGGGATGGTGTAACTGCAATAGGTAGGAGAAAACGCATAACAGACTACATATCTTAGCCTCTAGATTACATTCTGGAACTTGCAGGTTCGGCTCAACACGTCGAATGAAATTCTTCAGGCAAGACATCACCCAAAACAAACTTGCAGTGGGCTTAATAGGGTTCTGACGATCTTGTTGGTCAAATAGAGGAAGCTGTTTCGAAGTAGTAAGTTTGGTTTCAAATGTGTCCAAAATGTCATCCAAATCGTGCAGTACAGAGAGCAGTTTTCCTTTGAACTCTAATAAGGTTAATCTGTCCCGTTTACAGAGAAGTGACGTAATCTTTTCTCGAATGTCGGCAGTCAAAGAAAAATTTGATTGACTTTCCGTCACAGAATTGTTAGAAGCATCACTTAGAACTGCTTCCTCCTTCTTCGGGAACACATTCAACAGATGACCGCTCAAGTTGTTTTCATTTCCTTCATTATCCTCTGTCAAAGACTGTTTTGCAGTGTCATGAATTTCCTTATCTGGAGGATCAGTTTCCACCTGAAATTCAGGATCCATATTGCCATTTAAAAGTGCATTCTCTCCAGTTTGCTCATTTTCTCGTGTACCATCTTCGCACTCCATTGGAGCAGAATTTGATCCTCCTTCGTGTTGTGCTTCATTTGCATCCTCGTCACAAGGCATGTCTTCTGTTTCCCCTTTCATTGGTTCATCGTTCATTAGTGTTTCGCGCATTTTCTCCAAATTTGAAATTACCCTTTCTTTCACCTCATCCTCCAGTAGTTCCAGCTCGCTGTACAACTTACACATCATGTCTTTAAACCTTGTATTGAGATCAATATCCGGCTTGATGGCGTCAGGGCGCATTATGTCGAAATCTTCACTCAGTATGCCTGCTGAAAAATTTTGCGTCAGATAATCATTTTCATTGGCCAATGAGTCACCATTTACAAGGTTTTCTAGACATTTGACCAGTTCCAGTGCTTGTGGGCCAAAACTTCTGTTTCCAGAACAGTTTCCATTAGCCAAAATATTCTTCAATTCATTTAATAATATCAAAACTCTTTCAACATCGTTTTCGAACTCTTTTGTCTGATTTTCGAACGACATCGCTGATCCAAGAGCACAGAACTGGTCAAACATTTCTGCTTCAAAGGCCTTATCCGAATCATCATGGAAGGGGCACTCTGTTTGAGTCTTCGGTTTCATTGAGTTGCCGCAAAGATTTGTAGCTTCCTTACTGATTTGAAGATTATCGCATCCAAACACCTGGGGCTTTTGGCATTCCAGCTCTCGAGGATTGAAGTCGGTCATTGAAGTTGGTGAGAAACTGAATTCGCATGGCTCTTGCTTCGTGCACTTCCTATTCCTACCAAGTACGTCGTTTCGATCCACATTTAATTTTATCCCCAAACCTGTTCCACAGCTCTGAGCCGAATTCCGAAGACATTTGCATTGCCTTACCAAGTCTTCACTCAGTTCGGATAACTGTGATTTCAAATTGTGTACTTTATTTATCAGCCCCTCTCCAACAGGACAGGTGTTCAACTCCGAGCGCAGCAATTGAATGATAGCATACACACATTGTTTCAATTCAAACATTGTGCATTTTAAGCCTTCCTGGTTAAAGCCCACTGAATTACACATCGTGCCCGTGTTTAGCTCCATCAAAGATCATGGAATTAGCCACGTGTTAAATGTATGAATATTGGCAGGAATCGATGAAGCGGCCGGGACACGTGATCTTGAAAGCTATATAACTAGCTAAATTAGAGGGCTCCCTTGAGATGGCCAACTTGAGATACACTATTTGACTGGTTTACAAAATATGCATAAATGTACTCAAAGATGGGAAAAAAAGCAAACAGAATTATTTAAATAATGGATAAAAATAATGTTTTTATTATTAATCAAACTATCCACTTTTAATTTTAGACAATTCAAAATCGAGAAAACGGAATGTTTAACCATCAGCGCGTCTTTCTAAGCGCATTCAGACACCGGTTAAGATAACCTTCACTTTTCATTGTACTACTTCGACTTCGGCTCCGACTTAGACCTGGTTTGCTGCTTCTACAGATTTCGCTGCCGGTTGTAGGGGGAGGGGAACATGCTGTGGAAGCTGCTGCACGTGCAGAGTCAATATATGCTTCAATCTGTATTGTGTTGCATCGACTTCGATTTTGACTGCTGCTTTTACAGATTTTACTGCCTCTTGTAGGGGAAACAGAACATGCTGTAGAGGGCGCTGCATGTTCAGAGGGAATGTATCCTTCACTTTGTATTGTACTCAAACGGTTTCGACTTCGACTATTGCTTTCGCGGATTTCGCTGCCTGTTGTAGGGGGAGGAAAACATGCTGTGAAGGGTGCTACATGTTCAGAAATAATAGATTCTGCAACTTTTTCCATCTTCTTTCCGTTTATTTGTCCAAGAATTTGTTTTATTTCCATGAGAAGGGAAGCATTTTGTCGGTCTGTCTCTAGGACACATTCAATTTGACCGAAGATGTAAAACATCTTTGAAATCGTGCTATCTCGAAGTGTAGAACCCTCCATCTCCAATGTCTGTACGACACCCTTTAGTTCCGCTAAAATCAACGCTACCCGTGAATTGATCGCCTCAGCACACGCGACTGCCGGTGACTTGTATTCGACCTCCTCCGCGCAACTTCGAGCAGGAGCATTGGAACACTCCATATTTATGCACTGCTCGTTTCCTGTGAGACACATTGCTTCCACATGATTTTGACAACAACTTCCAGCTTCTCTAATACATCTTTCTATCGCATCCAGGATTACCATTATCTTCTCATCATACATTTCACTCGGAACCGTCCCATCTGTGCAACATAAGGAGTGCTCAGATTCACAGGAATATTCTTCCTCTTTGAGAAAGTTAACACCAGCAGCCATTAGTAACTCTTCCACCTCGGAAATGGCAGCCGCCTGTGTTGAAGCCCCTGCGCCTTGCTGACAAAGCTCGGCCTCCATGGATTTCAAAATACTTCCTATGTTCTCCAGAATATCCGACTCATTACACTTTGTTTGCAAAACCTGTTTCAGATTGTTTAACACACGATCTAGATTTGGTCCGAAATCATAGTCGGAGAGCTGCGCCGAGGGTTGCAGTGATTTAATAAGATTCTGAAGTTCCGTTAATAGACTGCACAAATTTGGTGTTGCCATGATTGCTACTTGACACTCATTGGGATTTTCACTAGTCATTTCTTCTTGAGGTGTAGGGGGCAGTCCACACGTATCAAACTGTTCAGGTTCTGCTTGAACTTCGCAATCGGCGCAAAGATTCATAGAGGCAGCAAGCTCTGTCTGTTGACAACTTTGCAGTGCTTCTAAGGTTTCGCTTATTTCCTCCAACATCGAAAGTACTTTTGCTTTAATATCTTCATCGAATGACTGTAACTCGCAATAGAGCTCACGTAATAAATTTTTTATTTTTGCGTTAATAGATTCATTTAAATCTTTTCCTGGGGGAAATTCTGAGAGATTAGAAATAGTGCTTACGCATACAGAGGCTGCAGAGCCCTTGTGGCTTGATGAGTCGGGATGCCTCCGTTCATCCATCATACAAGGTGGAAGAGCTATTGGATACGGCGGCGCACAGTTATATTTCTCACTCAATTCCCGGAATGCCATATTATCATCAGCTTTCACATCCGGATTACTAAATTCAGAATCTAGAAGTTGCTTCAAGTTACAGACCAGCTCCAGAGCTCTGGCCTGGTTAAGACTAGATTTATCAGATGAAAGAAGGTATTCTAGATCTTGTAAAATTTGAAATATACGCTCAATAGAAGTTTTTTGGTTTCCAGTGGATACCACAGATTGTGTGCAAGTATTAGCGCGATCGTCCTTTTCGGTAGCAAAATGAGCACAAAAATGATCTGATTTCTCATTTTCATAACAGACTTTCTCTGTCGCTATAGCGTCATCGATGGAGGTCTTCAGTCCTTCTACTTTATCTAGCAGGAACTGATTAATGTTTGCTCTTCGAACTTTAGCTTCTTGGGTTACAACATCACATTCTAAGCACTGTAAAGCCTCCTGGCACTCCATGACTGGAGAATCACTTTCAGACTTGTATTCACTTTCACCGTTCTCCTCAGCTTTCAAACTCTCGCACGGGGAGTTGCACTTGGGGCAAACGGGAGGTGATGAGGAGCAACCGAGTCCCGCAGTTAGTTGCTGGAGGTGGCACTTAATTTCCTCAATGTTCTTGCTCAGTTCTAACTTGGAATCCTTTGACAGGTATGACGAATGAGCACACAGATCTTGGGGAGGACTGTTTAAACACTGATTTTTCAGGCCTTCACTCAACTCACACAATTGTAATTTCATACCCTGTATTTCTTCTAGTAGTTGTTTTTCGATAGTTGTAGCGCTGACCTGGGAGCATAATGCACGGTTGACTTCGTCTACGTTCTCCCTTAATGACATCACAGTTCTTCGAATGCTATCCTCATCAAGACTGGGACGACTACTTTGATCTACTACAGAATAACCAGATAGATTCGATGCCTTGTTCAATGATGAATCACGTGGGTGGCTTTCAAAATGTAACGGATCAGCAAAATCTACTTCAATGCATTTCGTGCACACATCATCTTCTACACCCGGGCCGTAACTATTCGATTTTGCACAGTTCAAGTCAATACTGATTTCAGCAATTACGTCCTTTTTGGGCTTTGGTGAAAGGCAGATTGATGTTTCCAATGTGCGCTGGCCGGACTTATGGCGGCAATCATAATCCTCATTAGAATTACTACACTCTAAAGAATTCCATTTGTTGAGAAGCGGCATCTTAGTAAAACGAAAGGAACTAACTCCAAAAACCCCCTCTTCAAATTTTGAATTATCGGCGGTTTGAAATTCTGTGTTCAGAGTGTCCCTTCCTTCATCACGTCTGTGGATAAAAGTGGACTTAATCAAGTCAGAGCTACCGTCCATCATATCCCATGGGATAAAACACACGTTTAACCACATGGGTTGCCTGAATCAATAAGGCAATCCCGTCACATGATGGGTGGATACATACACATGAGAAATGCATTCACCAAAATGAGACGACACATTCATTGTTGGGGAAGGAAACGCAATGAAACCTAAGTGGATAAAACCGAAATTTAAGCTCCAAATTACATCACAAACTCGAGCATGCAAAAGAAAAATTAAAAAATAATACATTCACGATTGATCAACCTTAAAACTGCAGGAGATAAGCTTCATATGATGTGCAAAGGCCATTATTAAAAGAGAAAAAATATTTTACTAGGATATCAAATTTAAAATATGGGCAGAGTTTTATGTAGTAATGACAACCACCAATACAAGTGGTGGCACCCATCACTCCACATTT